CTTTTTAGATTTTTGATGGTGGTTGAATTAAATGTTTCGGATTTTTATTGTTCCTCTAATGTCTGTAGCCGAGAAATCTCGATATATGTAAGGGAAAATAAAGTCCAGTGATCAGGTAAAGAAAAGAAAAGAATGATAGAATTTCAGTCGGTTTTCAATATGGGCAATTTTTTTTTTTTTAATTGAAAATTTCGCTTTTTAAAATAAAAATCGAATAACCATTTAAGACACGGATACAAGTTGCCGTTGCAGACACTGGCAAAAATTTGTGTTGAGCTTGGACTTTTGTATCACGAAAGAAATGTTCTGTGCTGATTGAAAGATGAAAGAAAAAAATCTACTGTTCGAAGTCTAACATATATATATATATATATATATATATATATATATATATATCAGATGGAGGCAATATGCTCCCAGATAATAAGCTGAATATTTGATCCTAGATTAGAAAGAAAAATGCTTAGTATTGCCTTTTATATGCGCTTCTAATTAATTAGTTATTGACTGAGATCAGTACTTCAAAAAAGTGCGTGTACGTGAAGCTATTGTTGAACATTGCCAAAAATACTCCTGTTACGATGGCGTAAGCCTCACAAATAAATAAAACAATGATTCTTATTAAATTGTAAATATTATACATGAATAAATATGTTGATGGAAAGAAGACCGAGAATAAAACATTCTCGGCAAAAAAAAAAAAGAAAATACAATAAAAATCCAATTCGTTGATTACAACGATCTTATTATTTTTCTGTTATCATTCAATCACTAATACGGATTAGTTGTAACAAATTAATATTTTGTACCGAATCCCTACGCTCTTAAGACAATAACAGAAAAGATGTCTTCATCGACTCTCTCAGTCACTCCTTATTTTCTGTCTACCATCGCTTTGTGGCACCTAGGAACATTAATTTTGTTTTAAAACGAGATACAAATTGTTTCAGTCGGAATTCGAATTCTTCTCATCCGTTTTTCGCGGGAATCAACATTAGGACATTATACATTTGACTGTCTCAAAATCTTTTTTTCGCTTCCGTGAACATGAATAGAAGACGGAAATTGTGACACTGAAATCCGAAGGCGAATTGAGATAGCCAAATAGGCATTCCAAAAGCTAAGCAGAGTATTAGCAAATATAAAAACTTCGCTAGAAACAAAGAAAAGAGTACTAAACTGTTACGTGATATGACAGTGAGTGCCGAATAATCTCCTCAAAGAGGAAGAACAGACTTGAAGCAACAGTGGTTCTGCAGAAGGACTCTGAGGATACCATGGGCCGGTTATGTGAGCAACGACGAAGTTTTAGAGAAAATGGAATCAAAAACGACACTTATAATTAACATCATAAAAAGACAGTTGAAATTTCTAGGTCACATAATGAAGGCTTGGAATATTTGATACTCACAGGACAAATTGAAGGCAAGCGGGACAGAGGGAAACAATGCATAACATAGTGAGCCTGAGTAACTGGATGGCGGAACAGGGTTTAGGAGAAATAACAAAAAGATAAAATTTATTAAGAGCTACAAAGGACGGGAAATTGTGGATAGCCATGAAAATACAGAACCTTTTTATGCAGATAAATGTAAGAAGTGATGGGTATATCAGGTTTAACAGCAGCCATCAGAATATACGCATGACCTTATTCCACTCAGTGTAATATGAAAGTGCTGTATCTGGCGGCGAATCCCTGATCATGGAAGTTCATTTATTTTTTTGGTATGTCTCGTTTGCGGACAATTTTAAGCATTGCTTTATCAACAAATATGACCCACCCAGTAAGGACTGAACACCCTACAACTGTAATATATTATACTATTTCTCCATGGCAAGGCAGTATATGTTTTTAGCAGACATAGTCTGACATTAGACTACATTATTCGGGCACCCAATCGTGTTTAAAATTAAAAACCCAATCGGGTTTAAAATTATTACTTTTGTAATAATATACGGGACTAGTCTATTAGTTATATCTCCAGGGAAAATGTGGTTCTACAGAAGGGCGCTGAGGATATCATGGACCGATTATGTGAGCAACTACGAACTGCTAGAGATAATAGAAACAAAAAAAAGACATATACTTAACCCCAAGAAGAAACAGTTGAAATTTCTTGGGTACATAATGAGGAAAGAGGGTTTGGAAAATTTGATTCTCAAAGGACAGATTGAGAGCAAGAAGGGCAGAGGAAAACAATGCATAACCTACCTGGCGAACTTGAGTTAATAGATGGCGGAGCAGGGTTTGGGAGTCAGAGCATAAAGAGAAAATTTAAGAGCGAAAAGGACACGAAATTGTGGAGTCATGATCGCCAAGATCCTTAAGGAACACAGCACGAAGAAGAAGAAGAAGAAGAAGAAGAAGAAGAAGAAGAAGAAGAAGAAGAAGGGTCACTTAATACAAGACCCAAGAGCCACTCAAGGTAGAGCGTTACTGAACGCTGTGTGTGATATGAACGTAAGAGAGGGAAGTAGGAAGTGAATATTATGAGGATATGGGGGATAGATAAGTATTGATCCTTACTTGAAGCGGTTAAGATTCTAGTGTTCAAGCATCTTCGTGAGAATTTGTTCCACAAAGTAGCGTTTCTTGGAAAGAAGCTCTCGAAGTGGGACACTCTTCTTACCAAAGAAGTGCGTAGGAAATAAAATGCGTAGGGTGTGCTGCCCATATAACTCAGCTATGTAGTGAGGGATATTCAGTGAATTTTGAACTCACTAAAGCCCACCGGAGCAGCTTTTTAACTACTGCTCCAGCTGACAAAGGAAAATGGTCTTCCATCATTATCTTACTTATCATAAAACGCAGATTGTGTGTGTGTGTGTGTGTGTGTGTGTGTGTGTGTGTGTGTGTGTGTGTGTGTGTATTCGTTTATATATGGGATCGGATTTCCTACATTTTTCAACCGATTTCAACAAAACTTCACTTTTTTTTTTTGGTAGTGTTTCTTATTGTCTTGCACACTTTTTTCTTTATTTTTACATTCAGAATGCTTTAAAAATTCCATTTACAAGACAATTGTTTATAATAAAATTCTATTCAATCGATAGACTCATAACGATTGAAAACAATGTTTTTGTTTGAGTTTGGGTCTGACCAATTCGTAAAAAAAAAAAAAAAACAACTAATTAAGACATGCGTGTCCGTCAACCTTAAACAATAATCTTTGTCAATTTTATTTTTCAGTCTTTATGATGGTCGATACTTGATCTATCTCTTGCTGTTACATCCCAAGGCAGCGCCGGGCTCTACTGCTAGTTTAGTATATAGGATTACATATCACTAGTTTTAATTCTACACTGAAAATGTCCTATTTTAGAACAAACCTTTTAATTGTTTTCTGATATGTTATTATATTAGGTGCACAAAAATATATTACTCGTTCCTAATGTTTAACGTGTCCTCTTCGTTAATTTTATATCAATCTCTTTCAGAATTTAATTTAAAGAATTATATACTTAAACACGAAAAAAGAGGATATACTTTTTTGCAAGCTTGGCCATTGTTATATCGTAAATAGGAAAGGTTAACACACATATAGAAAACAAGTAGTAGTTTACACCGAAGGATAATATGGTACACGGTTGAGAACACAGACTAATGTAATAAATTCGTAATCGTTAACTACTCGGTATTTACCCGAGATCTCCCGACAAAGCGGGATGTGGCACAAGGCCGTTTTTTTTTTTTTTTACGTGAGATGTTCTGAGGCGTGGTTATTACTCCTGTGCTGTAAGTGGAGTTGCTCAGCTCTGGGGATTCCAACCCTGCGACAGCACCTTCCTCACTGCCTTAGGAGAAGTGGGGTAAGTGTAATACTAATCCCAGCGTGACAGTAGTCGTGGGGGCTGGGTACAACAACAATTTTTGTCTATATCCTATATGCATACGTATGCGTATGGCGCTCCCCACGTTAAAAGGACCTTGTGTTACATCCAGCCTTGTTGGGGAACTCGAGTAAATATACCTACACAGTGGTCATACTGAGTAAATAGGATCTTCTTCTCCCCCCCATCTCTCTCTCTCTCTCTCTCTCTCTCGTTCGTTTTTCTTAAACATACAAGTTGTCCATAATGTTTCTTTACAATTTAAAAATATATTACGAAAGCAATTGACGCGGTACTACTACTATAGATGACCTTCAACCAACCACCATTTTCCAGCAAGATGGTGCACCACAACAATTGGGGACTGCATGTTCGTGGGTTCCTAAATCAAACATTTCAAGACCAATGGATTAGAAGGGATGGGCTAATTCCCTGGCCACTTCGTTCACCAAATATCACGCCCCATGGACTTCTTTCTATGGGGTTATGTTAAAGATATGGTGTATCGAACAAAAATAGAAGACATCGCTGATCTAAAGCAAAAGATCGCCACCATTGATGAGGCTATGCTATATGGGACATGGCAAGAAATCGAGTACCGTGTTGATGTGCTTCGTGCAACTAATGGTACCCATATAGAGGTGTATAAAATTAGTTAAAATAAACTTCAATATCTACACCTCATTTTGTAACAATTTCCACATATTTGTCCGTCCATTTGCTTTGATAACAACTTTTTTTTAAGTTGTAAAGAGACGACTTCATGAACAATCTGTATATTCTTTGCCTTCAACCAGTCAGTGATGGGCAGATTATGTTTCATTGTGCAATATGTATCATGAAGAAATACAGAAAAGAACGCTACAGGTGATGTATGGGACACGCGCGTGCGCACACACACATATACACACACGCATAGCATTTCCACGTTATCTTTGACACTTAGAGCCGGAATAGAGAAGAAAGAAGAATAAGAATAAGAATAATGGTAGAATATAAGTAGGCAAGAAAGTTAAGAAAAGGGGGAAAAACACGACATTCTATACATGTGCAGACATACACACACGCATAAACACACACACGCACAAACACATACGCACAAAGAAGAAAAATCAACCTAACACAAATAAAAAGCGCATAAATTATGTTTTAACGTCATATGAAAATAA